CTTGATGGGATGTGAATTACTATAGACTAGAAGTAATGGTAGGGTGGGGCAGTGGCAAAGCATTATGGAGGTGAAGTTTTGGCTTTCATTGCCTCCATCCTTCAAAGGTTTTCCAAAAGAAGCCATTAAGTGCTTTGATCTAGAATTTGCTTCAGATCTGAACTATCATATTTGTTTGTTTGTAAGGGCTGTTAAATTTTATTTCTTAACATTACAAGGTCAGTTTCAAGTAGTGAACAGTTTGGGACTGGATTACTGAATTAGAATAGTTAGTTGCTTTCTATTTTTGTTGATACCTTGCTGATAGCCCTATTAAATGTCATTTTCTTCATTTACTGTCTTCATCCTAATAAAATAAGCCTCTTACCAACTTAGAAGGTTTGACTAGATTTTTTTCGCCAACTATTTTCGCATTTCTATTATATAGGTTTTACAGCTTGATTTGCTTTAAAATGTAAAATTGTCATTTATTTTCTATAAAGTCATGTTTATTAGACTCCAATAACCCTCATCTATTCCCTTGTAATTATGCACAATTATGGTAATTATGAGATATGTTTGAATTCTTGTAATTGAATTAATAGAATAATACATTTAATTATAAATTAAGCTTGACTATTTTATAAAGGTTTTTACACTGTTACTTCCTTATAGATTTTAGTTAAACAAAAACATTTAGCTTTAAAGAAACTATTTGGTAATATTTTTGGTTTTTATTTGTCTTGTTTGCTTTCCTATATCCAATGAATTTTAACGCTTAAAGATATGTAACTTCTTTAGAAACAATTTTTATCACTTGGCTTTAAAATGTTTCCATCTTTAAGATTTAAATTTCCTTGTATTATGCAAACATATTTTGTCCTACTGTAGGAGGCTGGAAATGAAGTGTGCTTGGGTAAATGTGTATCAGTAATGGGTGTAAATGCATGTGTGGTTGAGCTGGTGAGTAACTGGTGCTCTCTGCAGTGCAAACAGAAGCAATTGCTAAGGCGAGAGCAAAATATGTTCACTACAGGGTAGGTTAATTAATATGCTGGTTAGCTTATGTCCAAGAAAAAAGTCACATTCTTATAAATAAAAGTTAGTTAAATAACAAAATTTCTAATACTATATTTATAAAAATATAAATACTTATCCAATAAAATAGTTTATTGAACTAAATATTTATTTTATTGAAGTAAATATTAGCTGAGTATTTACATTTCTTTCTAAGTACAGGAAGGTGCTAAATTTGGATGACTCTAGTCAAAGTCAAGGTATAAATTATCCAGGCTGGTTCATTTCTAGTCACCTTCATTTTGATTGATTCTGATAAATTATTTCTAAAGAATGGAATCAAATTGCTGATGATGAGTGCAATGAAGTCTAATTGTTAGCATTGTCTTTTGATATTTTACTCTCACAGGCGATTTTTATTTGGTCGCTGGTGAAATTTCATAGACCTGAATATGCCAAAATCCCATACCCTAACTGGGGAGTTGCTCTAGGCTGGTGTATGATTATTTTCTGCATTATTTGGATTCCAGTTATGGCTATCATAAAAATAATTCAAGCTGAAGGAAACATCGTTCAAGTAAGCACATTCAATTTATATTACTTATATTTTAAATAGTATTTGTGATCAAAACGAAGATTAATTCACTCATATAGTGATAATATATGAGATATTTCTTTTCTTTTAGGCTTAATGAATTTATTTCTTTTTTACATTGTTTTCATTGTTTTACATCTTTGTTAATATTTTGACAATAAAGGACTTCTACCCTAAGGAGGTGCGGTCCTCATATCTCTCTCACCACCAAAGAACCCATTTTTCAGGCTGCTTCTATACCTGATAAAATCACTTGTTACAATATGCATAACATTTTATTATCCTGTATACATTTGTTCCTCCCTGTACTAGATTATAAGCTGCTATAAGGTGTCTTGCCCTGTTTCCTATCACAATGCTTAAGGTGTGATGTGTATACCTGTATTGAGTTATATCCTTAAAATGTCACAAAGCAAATGACCTTGGTGCTTTATAGCTGTAATCTTCAGCTTTAAAACCTCACCTGCTTCTAATACATGTCTGAATACTGTGTTTATACTGGAAAAAAGCCTGGAAAATTATCTTGACTCCAATCTAGATCCTGAGTCATTCTTCCTCTTTGGAGGCCTGGGGTCAGGGAGGTGGTGTTATGACCTCTCTCTAGCACAATGGCAAGGTAGGCTCAGGAGACTTAGATAGTAAATACATTCCCAAAACACCCCAGAATGAGTCCAGATCCATGGTTTGACTTCAGAGTGCCCTTTCTTTGCTGAAACTTCCTAGGCATGTGTGTACTGGTTTAGGTTCTTACCTACCCCTCACTGCAAGGCCTGGACAGAAATGTCTAAGAATTCGGTGAAAGGATGTGGCATTTTGCTGGTGCTCCGATGGCCTCAAAACACTTTCCCTTGAAATCATTTGCACATTCAGGTGTTTTGGTTTTGTAGTTAACACAATTCTGTAAGTTAAATTTAAGTATCACCTTTTCCCTGGTAATTATATATTGAGGATCTTAACATTTTAAATGAAGGTATGTTTGATAGTTGCTTGTTTACATATTGTAGCAATTAAGTTCTAAGGCAAGGTCTTTATTTTTGTGTTTGTTTTGTAGCGCATTGCAAGCTGCTGCAGACCAGCTCCTAACTGGGGTCCCTACTTGGAACGACATCGTGGGGAGAGGTATAAAGACATGGTCGATCCTAAAAAAGAGACTGACTATGAAATACCTACTGTTAGTGGCAATAGGAAACCAGAATGAGATCTCATTTTCGAAACTATGTGGTTTGTAATGTGATTATTTTAGCTTCAAAGAAAATTTTAATTTATTTGTATGCCGAGTAGAAAAATGTATATACTATGTTCATAATAGCATAAGGGTTTATATTTTCTTTTAAGCAGAAATGCAACATAAAATGTGAATCTACTAACATTTAGCAATGTGCTTATATATTTGTTTTTAGAATATCTCTATAACACACACATAGCTATCTCCTTCACAATAACATTTTTGTAAATAGTACCATATTTTTCTATGTTGATGGCTTTATTTTGAACACGTTGATTTAGAAAATAGCTCCATTTTGTATTAACAGGTTTTAAAAATAATTTGCTTATATTTTCTTAGTACACAGCCTTTCTTTTCTGTAAAGCTGGGGAAAATCAGAATGTTTAAAAGAAGGGGTTAGAAACTGAAGATCTCACGTAATTAAAAATGCTACACCTATATGAAAAAAATCAAATGTGTATATAAAATGATTACTTTAGTTAAGTACTTTTCATAAAAATATATCTAAAAACTTCTTGACTTTATGGCTTTCTTTTTCTGTGTGACCTTAGTGGTTATAGTCTTAATTGACAAATAGTGAAATAAAACAGAAAAAATAAGAGACCCATGGCCAGTAAGTAATAAAATTTAAAAAACGGAACCAAGAAGCATCGAGTACTTCTTTCCTATATGTCTTTCACCCTTTACATTATATTTGGAAGAGTAGTTCATTATACTCCCTGAAAACTAGGTTCATTTCAAATAGAACATGGTATGAAGTGGATTCAGTAAAATCCATAGGGTCTTATGATTGCAATATATAGCTAATTTATTAAGTAGAATGATTTTTTTTGAAAGTTTGAACTAGTTTCTAACTACAGGTGATACCTTATTTACATACTTATAGGAGATAAACATGTCAAACTTGCCAAGAATGTGGGCAGCACAATTAGAAATTTATATGTCCCAGTCCTTACAAAAAGTAGTGAAAATATATTATGTCAATAAAAGATTCATACATTATGGATCACTGACAATTGATATAAACATCAGAGCCTACGATGATGAACATTGCCTAAATGTGCAAGATACTTTTCAGCTTTCTTAATTTTCTAACCCTGGTCTCAGAGATTGTACATGCAATTTTCTAGGGAATGAGAACATAGTTTTCACCAGAATGAAAAGATCAGTGACTCAAAAAAATATTAAGAACCACATATACTCCAGTGGATTCTTTGTCCTTAGCAAGTGAGGGATAAAAAGAATAATTTCTATTTTAATTTCTTACACATTTTCAGTTCCCTTTCCTCTTCCTTTTTTATTGAATATTAAAGGAATAAATGACTAAGCTATCTCTAATTTATTTTCAGGAGGGGGCATAAAAGTCGGTAAATAGGTAGACCTGTTAATTACAAAATCTGTCAGTTATGTGCAAGATCAGCTCCTGTTTGATATTTTGAGGGTTTTCTTTGAGGGTAGGGCAGATTCTATTAGCAAACATCAGTGATACTGTTTTATAAAACATAATTTGAAATAGATGGCTGAGAGGCACTTAAAAATACTTTTTCTTAATTTTAATCTGTATTATATTATCTGCATTCATTGCTATATTTTGGTGCTATTAAAGTATAGATTTTTCACCAAATAAGAAATGCATGATATTTTTCTATAAAGTTACATGTGCAATTCCAGAAAGATTAGATGATTCTACAGCAAGATTATCTAATTGGGGGGGGGGGCTGGGTGGTAATTAAGAACCTGTGTAATTAAGAATGTGTGTGACTATAAGGTAGGTTACTCAATGGCATCTTACTGGTCCACTGTGGTAAGAAAGAAAATTCTGAATAATGGAAAAACTCCCCTCAAATCCCACTTATTTTAATAGTAATTTGGAAACATTTTCAGGGCTATAAAGCAAACCATTAGAGAACACTTCCTCACACCTGTGTGAAATTAAAATCACTATCTTATACTCTTTAGCTTATTTTAAAAACTTGATTGTTTTATTTTATTATACTTTCATTCTACCCCCAATAAAATATATTAACATGTAATCAATTCTTAAAACAAAATTTAAATTCCTTAAATAAAAGGTGAATAAACAAATGTCTGGATGTTTCATCTGACTTGGTAAGCCCTCCCCTTTTAAGCAATAATTCACTTGATATAAACACATATAATTAAATGAATCCACTCGAAATGCTTTTAATGATTGCCTCTCCTGTTATTACATTTTGTAAGATTTACAGTGGATTTGTGGGTATCTAATACACCACTTAAACCTTTGATAACTAGGAAAAGTTCCAATTCAGCCAGCTTGTATTCCACGATCCTTAGGTTTATCAATATTCGCTTCTGCATGGCTATCGAATGTGGCAAATTATTTAATATATCCTGAGAGAGGCTGTGGACTGAAAGACTCTTATGAATAACGCTCTTAGTTGAGCCAGAACGAGAAGATGATCTTACTAGTGCATGAGAAGGCAGGTTTGATGACATTTCACCAGTGTTTCTCTGTAAGGGAAGGATATCATACATGTACAATTAATATAGCTTAGCAATTCCCAAATAATGTGCTTAAACTTGATTACCAAAATGAACTGATTGTTCTCCACTAAGAATGAGAGATCAACAATCTGTTCAGTAGCTACACTGATTTGGAAATATATTCTTGTCAAACACAGCTGGAAAAAATATATATTAAAGTAGCTGTTCATCAAATTGCCAGATCTTTGGGTTGTATTTCCTTGTAGGCCTATATTTGGACTCTGATGGATCCTATGTGACCTCAATTGCTACTTTAAATATCAACAGGAAGCCCACCTTTTGACCTTGATTATTTGTGAATGCCCTAAAAGCTCCCATAAAGATGACTGAGACAGGAAATGAAATAAAGGCAAACAAACTCAGGGAGTTGTAGAAGCCACCAGAGTAGGTACAGATTCTGAAAATGGTTGGTAGTTGTGGGGAGTGGGCACTTTGAGCTGTAATTTTCAAGTGGTTATAAAGCTCACCCCATCACTTAGTGACTTCTGGCATGTTACAACAGCCCACAGCTGTCTAGTCACTGTTTACTATGCTGGAAGTGTGGGGGTAAGAAGTAACCATTTGCAATTAATGAGGTTCCTTCCCATTAACTCTTACTGTTTTACCTTCCACTTCCTCTCTGTCCCTCTCTGCCTCACCCCCTCACTCTGTACCTCCACCTCTGCCCCTCTCTCTCCCTCCCCACTCCCTCCCTCCTTTTCCCTCCTTTTCCCTCCCTCTCTGTCCCTCCCTCCTTTATCCTCCTTCTCTCCCTATCTCTCCCTAACTTTCTCCCTCCTTCTCCCTCCCTCTGTCTCCCTCCTTCCCTCAGCCTCCCTCTCTCACTCTCTGTCCCTCACTTCTTCTCTCCTTCACTTTACCTCTCTCCCTTCTTCCCTCCCATTCACTCCTTCTCTCCCTCCATCTCCCTCCCTAGCCCTCTCTCTCCTTTACCTTCCCTCCCTCTTCCCTCTCTCCCTCCATCACACCTCCAACCCTCTCTCCCTCCCTCTCTTCTTCCCTCTCCCTCCTCCTCTTTCCCTCTCTTCCTTCACCCTCCCTTGCCTCCACCCCTCCTTCTCCCTCCCTCTCTCTCTTTTACTCCCTCACACCATCCCTCCCTCCAGCCTCTCCCTCCCTTTTCTTCCTTCCTCCTTCTTCCCTCTCTCCCTCGCTGCCCCTCCCTCTCTCCTTCACCCTCCTTTACCTTCACCCTCCTTCTCCCTTCCCTTTCTCCCTTTCTCTCCTTCCCTCACTCTCCCTCCCCATTCAACTTCTCCCTCCCTCTCCTTCCCTCTCTCTTACAAACACACCCGCTGTATTTGGATAAGGTCCTCTAATTCCAATCTCTGATAACACTTTACCTGAAATAGATTTTTCCAGAAGGCAAACATGATGGCAAATAAAATACCGCTCATTAGGAGCATGAAGGTGCTCATGGCTGCTTTGTGGTCTCTTCTTTACTGGAGAATGGAGGCGCTGGACAGCTGGGAAGCTGAGGGTCCGCTAGCCGCCTGGTTACCACCAGCCAGGGCTCTCACCGGTCCTCACTGAGTGGCGCAACTGAGCTGGGCTTCAGCATCCAGCTCTCTATGTACTGGAGCTGGCGTCTGACGTCACAATGGACACTCAGTTCCGGGCCCTACACCACAATCCGATGATGTAAAGCCCAAACTGCTGGCAGCCAGGCAGAGTTTAGTAATCGCTGGATTAGTTACCAAGTCAGGTCGTTAGAGTAAAAGCATTTGGGGGTGTTTGCTAAAACATGGTGTATGTGCAAACACCAAAATAACCAGTTAAAAAACAAATTTTAAAAGTTCTTCCCCGTCTTTTTGGTTTTTGAAGATGTGTTTGTTTTCCCTGTAACCACTCCACCATTCATTTTAAAAACAAGCTAGGGAGACCTTGCACGAAGTAATCACCCACACATTGTCTTTGCCGGTATCCACCAAACTTCCCATTGCTGTTTCCGGATGCACTCCAACAGTGTCCATATCACGATAATGATGTATATTTATGTCATTGTACAGTGTAAAAAGTAATTCCAGGGGCATTGTCCTACAAAATTCACAATAATTTTGCGCTATGGGTATTTCTAATTCTTGGTCTCCTTTTGGAAACGCCAAAACAGATTCAGGTGTTAAGTAAATTTACTTGTAACTAGCCGCAAAAGTAGAACTTGAACTCAGAGAACCTGACGTATAGAATAAGTGCAGCTTATATTAAAGTCGATGAAGGAAGAGCATTTGACAGTAATAATTCATTACAAAATAGTAAAACCTTCTAGAACTAATAAGCAATTATTATGATAAAGTTATATTATTGTATTATATTATTGTAAATATACAAAATTCAATCACTTTCCTATATACCAGCAATGAAAAATTGGAATTTGGAATCAAAGGCACAATACCATTTATGTTAACATACATCAAAAAGAAATATGTACAAGATCTATCTTCTGAGGTTAATAATAAAATCGATGAAAGCAATCGAAGATCTAAATAATGATGATAAATAAAAAACTCAATATTGTCAAGATGTATGTTGTCTTTTAAGGAACTGATGCTTTTTGTCTAGGTTATTAAATTTATGGTTATATTTGTCCATAGCGTTCATTGGTTATCCTTTTAATGTCCACGGGATCAGTAATGATGCCCCCTCTTCATCTACAATTTTTATATTAGTAATTTGTGTCTTCACTCTTTTCCTAGTTACCGGGCTAGAAGATAACCGATGTTATTGATCTTTGCAAACTACTAGGTTTGGTTTTGTTGATTTTTACTATTGGTTTTCTGTTTTCAATTTTATTGATTTCTGCTGTAATTCAAGTTATTTTTTTTCCTGCTCTTTTTGTACTTCACTTGAACTTCTTTTTTCTAGTTTCCTAAGGTGGAGTATTACATCATTGATTTTACATCTTCCTTCTTTACTAATGTATGCGTTCAATGCTATAATTTTCCTCTAAACATTGGTTTTGCTGAATCTCTTATGTTGTGATAACTTGTTTTCATTTTCATTTGGTTAAAAGTATTTTACAAATTTCTTCAATATGGAGCCCTCCCTGGTGGCACAGCGGGTTGAAGCACAGCACTGAGAAGCTTAAGCCACTTCCGCAAAAGTTTGATTCCCACCTGCCCTGGAGGAGACCACATGGCGTGGCAGACCTCTCCTGACCCGCCCGCCGCTCCCCTCAGCAGTGTACTTCGTCGATCTGCCTGTTCTGCTCCCCACTCTGTCCCTGGTGAATCCTCTCACCCTCGGCATCTCTGGCCTGTACCCCAGTTCTGTATGAATAAATAATAAATCTTTAAAAAATTTTATTCAACATGTACCATTTGATCTATGTGCTATTTAAAATTTTTAATGTTCAAAGATTTTAGGAATTTTCCAATTATCTTTCTGCCCTGTTTTTCTACTTTAATTCCATTGTAGTCTGGTAATTGATATGATTTCTAGTCTTTTAAATGTGTAAAAGTGTGTCTTACAGCCCAGAATGTAGTGTACTTTGGTAAATGTTCCTAGTGCTTTCATGCTTTTTATATTCTATACATTTTTATTAATCCACTTTGACAATATGTTTTTTTGTAAAGATTTATTTATTTATGCATACAGAACTGGGGTACAGGCCAGAGGTGCAGGGGCAGCGAGAGGCTTCACCAGAGACAGTGTGGGGAGCAGAATAGGCAGATCGACGAAGTACACTGCTGAGGAGAGCAGTGGGCGGGTCAGGAGAGGTCTGCCATGCCCTGTGGTCTCCTCCGGGGCTGGCGGGAATCGAACTCATGCAGAAGTGGCTTTTAACTTCTTAGTGCAGTGCTTTAACCTGCTGCGCCACCAGGGAGGGCCTTGACAATATGTTTTTTAATTAGTGCATTTAGATCTGGCAAAGTTAGATTAAAATCCATTTCACTATTTTTTTTTACTTCTTTTTAATCACACTTTCACTCATTTTTTGAGTGTTCTATAAAGCACATAGGGGTCTATTTGATGTTATCCTATCAATCATTTAGGCTATATTCACTTTTCTGTCTTCTTTTTACTCTTCATACTCATTCTAATGACATCAACATCACTGATTGTTTCTTCTGCTTGTCCTAGTTTTCTTTTGAATCCCTCATTAAATTTTCAATTCAATTATTGTACATGTCAAATCCAGAATTTTTATTATTCTGTGTTTTCTTTCATTGTTCAGAATTAAAAGCCATTCTGGATATTTGTATTCTTTTTATTGAGATAACTTTAGTTTATAATACTGTATATTATTCAGAGGTGTAAGATCACACTTCTCCAGGTGTCTGTTGCAACATCACACCCACCATTAAGGCGCCCAGTCTTCTACCATAGTTCCTTGTGCCTCTACTCATTCTGAACTCCCTCTTCCCCTACCCCTATGGTAGACTCATCTACAGTCAGATTTCTAGAGTTAGTTATTGTTCTGATTTTACCTGACTTTGTTTTGTATCTCTATATTCCACACATAAAAGTTACCATCTGGTATTTGTCTTTCTCCTCCTGAGTTATTTCACATAACATAAATCCCTCCAATTCCAACCATGTTGTCACAAATAGCAAGTTTGTCATTTTTCATAGGTGAGCAGTATGCCATTTTGTATGTACACTTCATCTACCTGATCTCCTCATCTGTTTGGGGGCACTTATCTTGTTTCCACAGCTTGGCTATTGTAAATAGTGTTGCAATAAACATAGGCCTGAATATATTCCTTTGAATTAGTGTTGTTGCATTCTTTGGGTAGATATCTCTGATGGAATTGCTGGGGCACACAGTAAATCTATTTTTAATATTTTAGAAAACGCCACACTTCTTTCCACAGGGGCTAGACCAGTATACACTCCTACCAACAGTGTGTGAGGGTCCCTTTTTTCGCACATCCTCGCCAATACTTGTTGTTTGGGGCCTTTTTGATATGGGCCCTTCTCACAGGTGTGGTAATTCATTGTTTTTTTGCTTTGTATTTCTATGACAAATTCCTAAACTGGGGCTGTGGGAGAATCTGTGGAACCCAGTGGGGTAGTAACAGGTATCCCAACTGTTCCTGACTTCCACTTTCTCAGTCTTTCCAACCTTTTCTGATGGTTTTGGTCTTTCGTTGCTGAAACACCAGTACTCACATCCCCAGCTCCATTTCCTGTATGTGTGCTCCTTCCAGAAGCCGGTTTTCAGTCCTTGAATTAAGCAGTGACTCAGGGATTCTGTCCACCCACCATTCTCCCTTCTTCTCTTAGTAATTTTTCCGCAGAGCACAGGGGCTGGTGTCCAGAGGCTCACTGCCCTGCCAAGCTGAGGAAGGATGCTGTCAGGATGGGGCTCACTGAGGATTATGCGTTCCTGTCTCTGAAACCAGACCCTTTAGCAGCTCCTTCCTACTGTTTTAATGTGGCTTTTTGTTGATTGGACAATCATTTTGTTGCTGTAGAGTTCTGACGCCTATAACCTTATTTATAGAACTTCTATAACCTTATTTTGGTTAACTATAGTTACATATTTCTGTGGGGGGGAAGGGTTGGAAAAGGTCCTGAAGTTTCCTATTCTATCATCTTGATAACATTACCGACCGCTGATTTTTTAAATACCACAGCTGATAGAAATTGTTGAAAGTATAGAATCTTCCAACTTGTGAGATACTATTCCATCACTTATTTTTTTAAGTTTCTCACAACTCGGAAGATTCTATACTTTCAATTATTTCTGCCAGCATTGGCTAGTTTCATGTACCCTTTTCTCTTATAACAGCTATAAATTAATAGGATCAAGAAAGTCCATGCAGATCCTCCTTGATGGTGCAGGGGTTAAGATTTAAATGCTATCAAGCTATAGCCAGCTA